GCATTTTGTCTTCTCATAAGCTTCGTTCCTACATATGTGGTTATTAGAAGGGACTGATTGTTGCGTTCGATCTTTGCAAACCAGTTTTATTTTACCATTAAACTGATATTTTAGTTCCTGTGATAGACTGCTGACCTTCACCCTGAGTCAGCTGGGATAGATTCCAGCCCCTCACAACCCTAGTGAGGATCAAGCGGTGGATAGATAATGGATGGATGGATGGATGGATGGATGGATGGATGATATTTTAGTTCAGTTCAGGCACTCTTGAAATCATGTCTGTAAAGTTGAAGAGTAACCAATGTGCACTGCTGGGAAGAAAACAAAGAGCCACAACATGAGAGCAGTGTCTCATCTGACCCTCCTCATCCTCCTCTGTAAGCATCATCGTCTCTTAACAAGATGTCAGCACAGCATCGAGTTTATTACCTGAACTCCAGCTCGTCCCAGAAATGTCTTCAACAGGCTCCTGACTCCACACAATTGGAATCTATCCAAACTGTGCCTGTTTCTAACGAAGCAAAGAAGGAAACTTAGATTGAAGGGACTCAACTTGCAGCTACATTTAATGCTAAAGAGGTCATGTTCAGGATGCACGTGGGCTTTTATTTTGTGGTGAACCAGACAGAAGAGGGCGCTGTGTGGTGGATTCTGAGCAGAACCGAGGCTCCACGTCTCTCCAAACCCCCCGTTTATCTCTATGTAATGAAATATTCCACACAAAAGCTGTCAGAGCATTTTTTTTTTTACTTCATCAAGGCATGACAACATGAATACAACAGTTATACAGTCAATCTATCACCAAACAAATAAAGATCTGCCATGTCGGTTTTTTTTAGGAGAAAAAAAACAACACAAAAATAAAGAAAAACTAGTCGAGAGTCATTTTAGACACAAATCAAAGTCTAAATATGACACAATTAGACAGCAAGCATGATGACGAGATCTGAACTGCATTTTTTTTGTCTCTCTCTCTCAGAATGAACAGATGTGGAAACAACAAACAAACAATAATAAAGTGGCCTTTACAAAAATAACAGCACGCAGAATCTCTGATATGTATACAGTAATACAAAGCAAGTACGCGTCAGGCGACCGCAGCGCTTTTAGTTTTTGAACATGTCACACAGCAGCTTCTCCATGGGAGTGTTTCCGATGGTCCTGTGGAAGAACAGCAGCTCTATTCGCTCCGAGTTCACGAAACGCAGCGACGGCAGGAGGAGGAGCAGCTTTCCAAACCTGGACGCAGACAAAGAAATCAAGATTAAATCAGCATCTGTGTGTACAAAGGAACTATGAAGGATAAAACTTCATCAGAGTGTTAAAAAAAATACGACTGTGTGCAGCAGCTTTGTCATTTTTGTTTGAATAACTTCCCAGTGAAGACGATCAAGTTACACAAAACAAGAAGTTGATTTGTCATGTAAAGCTAATTATCGGTCTGCAGCAACAATAATGAGCTACGATGGGAGTAAAATCATTTTAAAAAGGGGCATATATGAATGAGTTCGTTGAAGTTGACACAGAAAATGAACATGTCATTGTTGCCCCCTGCTGGCCGTAACAGTAACTACACCTCATTTTGCATTTTGCATAGATTTTAAAGCATCTTCGGTAAACAATTGTGTCCTTAATTATTTAGAATCAATTCGAAGATTTTCAAAAAAACATTCATACAGGAGAGGAACTCAATTTAGAAGAAAAAAATCCACAATTATAGGAAGAAATGGACTCCTAACCGAACAAAGATGTGGCTCCTCTTTGAGATTGGTTAAAAAAAAAAAGCTGTTCTGGCCACATTCTATTACAAATTTAAATAAAAAGTAGGTCTAGTAAGTTTTTCAGTCACAAATTGTAAGAACACAGATAAGTCCAGATTTACTGGTGTAAATTCATTAACGGTGTTTTTAGAGGTGCGTTTTTCTTCCTTGCACTGATGTGGTGATGTTTCTTACCTGGCTGGTTGACTCGGGTAATGTGAGCGGATGTGCTGACCCAACATGACCTGAGACTGATCCTGCAGGTTCTCCACTTGCTCTGGATCTTTCAAACCGCGAGTCTCTGCGGAAGAAATGAAAACACCACTGTAAAATGTCTGTAAACTGAAATCACATGCTCAAAAACACACTGATTCATATCGACAGCATAGTTAGCTACATTTTTTATTAGAAATGAGAAGAAAATTCATTTTTCACACACCTTTCATGACTGTCAGTGATTTCTTATTCAGTTGTGACTGTTTTTGTTGCTGTGGCCTCTGTTACTTATTTTCTATGAGGAAATCCGAGTGAACATGTTGTGAAATTTATTTCAAAGTCAAAATGGTTGAAGCAGGAGCAAAACTATGACAACCATTTATACTGTGCTTGTGTGAATTTATGGGATGGATTTTGCAGTTCATGTCTATGGAAGCCCATTCCTGCCAGAATACTATATTAGACACTGATCAAAAAACACAGAATTCTGACTTTAGTTTGCTATAAATTAAGAGAAGAATAAAGAATTTAATTTGATTGATGTGACATGATATACTGTATAACTTTGAAAAAATAATAATAATTAGACTTTATACATTAAAAAATGAGAAATTGTACATATTTTTGTTTTTGCCTTTTGTAATTAGATTATTTTATTAAAAAACAAATATTTAAAAAATAAACATAACAATTTTAAACTAAAAACAATTGATATATAAAGTATTTCTAACAGCTTCTCAGTTGTACTTCCTGTACTTTCTTATCTATATTTTTTTAATTATTATTTTTTATTGCAACTCTGTGATTTAGTGTTTTTTTTTTCTCATGGGAGTGGGGTTCCCTAGCAGAGAAACTGTTAGTAAATAATTATTTTAAATCCATAATAGATATTTTACCACTCTGAAAATGAAAAATTTAAATATTGCCATGATCAAGGTTTTTAAATATTTAGATTTTTATTATAATTAATATTTTTTACAAAGAACAAAAATATGTGTATGTATTCAAATCTAGGTTTAAATAAATCTGATGACACTTTGGCCTCAGGGTGGCGCAACAGTAAAATGTGTCCTCTGAGGCGAACGGCTGAAGCCATCGCAGTGACAACCTGCTGACTGACTGAGCAGCAGATCACCGCTTCACCTCCTCACCTGGCTTGAAGAGCACGATGGCCTTGAGGCAGGCGAACTCGGTGGGATCGACGGCGAGCGCCTTGAAGCGGCTGAACACCTCCTGCAGGAGGCGCAGGTCCAGGCTGGTGTAGCTGGTTTTGCCCTGCATGCCGGGGCAGAGGTCGGGGAGGGAGAGCAGAGGGCAGCTGTCCAGGGGCAGAGACCACTGGATGGCACAGAGGAGGAAGAGCTCGCTCCAGGCCTCCTCCAGCAGGATCACCTGGAAGCCGAGGAGAGCAACAGGGTGAAAATCTGACAGAGACGATACATGAACTCTTGTTTTTGGAGAAACTATGGAGGCTCATCCCTGCCAGAAAAATATATAACCATGATAAATCAAAATGTAATTATAAATGTTCTTTTTAAAGTGTCCACATAATGGAAGGGCCCTATAATTTTATCTTTTATAAAGCATTTATTTACTCATTTAAAAAGAAAAAAAAAAATGTCACGGATAATGAGAAGTTGAGTCAAAATTCTAAGTAAAATCTGATTTTGTATTTATGAAATATTTTTTTAAATATAATATTACAATAATAATAATATATTGTATTTCTAAAAACCTCTGAGTTGTGCTTGCCCTACATTTTTTTGTTACTGTTTTTTTTAATTACTATTCTGTACATCTAAAGTCTTTTTATATGATTTTTCTTTTAATGGAAATGGAATTCCATATGCCAGAAGTTATTATGATATGATTATTCTGAACCAATAATCATATATTTACAACTCCTATCAGAATACCAGTAGTACTAGTGGTAGCAGTTGGTGATGCTCCCACAGCGCTTCTGTTTCTCTGATGTTAAAACTATCTCAAATAAAGTATGTGAATCTTAAAACCAACCAAAGAAGCAGGTTAGAAATTGAACAGCATCTTGCACTTAAACTTGTTGAACTTTTACTTGAAATGTACAAAAAACAAACATCTGCCACAGGAAAGGCAACAAGTGACACTATAAAAAAGCAAATCTCCAAATCAAACTGAGTTAAAGGCTCACCTGGTCTCTGAAGGGCAGGTTGGAAAACACCGGCAGGTTCTTGGCCCACTTCACCGACATGAAGAGCAGCCGGGCCGAGGTCTCGTAAACGTTCTCGGAGCTGGACGGGTACAGAGCCATGTGGTACTCCGAGGACGCTCGCTCCGGCTCATTGCTCGTCACGTCGATGTTTTCGTCAACTGAAATGGAACAGATTTGGTTAGAGTCAAAGCAGATTAGTTCATGTTCTGCTAACGGATCAAGCTCAGGCTGTTTTTGTTGTGTTTAGGTTTGGTTCAGTGATTCTAAATGTTGAAAATGTTTAAGAAATGGTAAGAAATTTAAACCATGTATATAAATTTACGTATGTGGAATTCCTGATTTTAAAAAAGTGGGAGAAAAAAAATGGGAAAAAAGAGCGGGAAAAAAAAGCGGGAAAAATAAGAGGTCAAGCATTGCATTAGCCTGGAGCGCTAATGGACAGTAATAGATGACATGAACCCTTATATTTAAAAAATATATCAAATCTGGGGATAATGCAGACAACATAAACTTCAAAATCTCTAGTTTATATGAAGCTAAATACAAAATAGAATCACATTAAAGTAAGGTGGGCTGCTAGCGTGTTGGTTTTTCTAACTGTCACTACGCTAATACGAGCTTAGCTGTCGACTGTCTGATTATCAGAAACTTAATGCCGGTTCCTTCGTTAACAGCGTCATCGTGACCTCATCCGGCACCGATAAGGCCGAGCTCAGACTACAGCAGTTTCAGGCCGATTTAACCTCGTTTCACCTCCAGACAATCAGAGGAGAAATCTGGTCCGAGATCTTTACGGGTGAAACAGGGATAAAGTCCTCTCGTGTCAGACCGGCTCTTAGTGGAGACAAAACTATCACAGATTTTAAATCAACTCCACCCATTTTGTCCCTCCAACACTGTGGGGTTTTTTTTAGTTTTTTTTTATTTTTTTTACTGTTTTTAACACAAATTTCTTTTAAACAATGTACTTTTATTATTTTACAGATTTTTCCTGTTTTGTTAAATTATAGATAATAAGTCGTAAAAAGTAAAAAATAATGCTAATTTTAAAAAACAGGCCAAAACTGTGAACAATGTCTGTTTAAATCAGCTATAAATATCTTTATTTACAGATATTTGCTGGCCATTCTTGAGCTTTACAGTATTCTTCTGTTTTGTACATATTTTTTCTGGTTCCCTTGCTGACAGATTTTCAAAATGTTTTACAGATTTTTTTTTATTTTTACAGTGCACCCAACAATACTGCCTTACTCTTTACTGTCTCTGCTTTAAACAACCTTTCTGCACCATGTCGCTGTTTAAACAGAGCAAACCTTTCACATTTGTTTGCTATACCCCAAAAAAAGCCAATTCAAACCTCAAGCTTTTGAAATTCTGCTGCCTCCCTGCATGTTTGGATCATAAATGTGACGTGAATGACACACGATGACGCTGCAGACTGAATTCACAGCAGAACTTTCTACTTGACAGATCTTCCTCACCGTCTTCGGGCTCCAGCTTGGCGCAGGTCTCGGCCGTCATGAGGCTGGCCATGAAGCGGTGGTTGTTCTGGGGGCTGACGCAGCGCTGGGGGGCCACGGAGGAGGTGATGGACATGGAGGAGGTGATGTGGGGCCACGTGATGACGGAGCCGCCGGAGGAGGAGGAGGACGAGGACGAGGAGGAGGAAGACGAGGAGGAGGTGGGCTCCCTGGTGGTGGCCAGGTGCTCCTTCTCGGGGTCCACGTCGATGGAGTCCAGACGGACCTGAGCGGTGCTGCGAGGCTGCCGCTCATTCTGCACGGCTGCAAACAGGACGACAAACTTGAAACAACCTCATACGGCTTCACGTTGGAGTCTCTGACGCTGAGACGAGTGTTTCATGAGTTATCTGCTGCTGTCAAACTCACTCACCGTCCTTGTTCATGCCCGCCTGCAGGCACTTCTTCAGCCGACACGCCTGGCACTGGTTCCGATGAGCTTTATCCACTGGACACATGCCGGTACCGGCCTGACACCTGCAAAATAAAGGGAGGATGTATTCAGAACCGACAGACATTTGATTTGAATACTAAAGAATATTGAAAAACAGCATAAGTTTGTAGAAGAATAATTACACAAACAGAACATACAAGGAAAATTCTGCACCATGTGAAGGAATCAGAGTGGAGAAACTTCTAACTTTCAACCTGAAGTTTAACGAAACGACCCATTTTGTGAAATAAATAATCAGAACTAAGTAACTCCATCATCAAAATTTTAAAAAAGGGGACTGGAGCCTGATTTTAAGCTGAAATATGGGTTTTTAATACACAGACAAACCAAATAATATCTAAAAATAAATGTATTTGTTTGGTAAGGTTCATTTTCATCAATATTATTGGTAACATATGAGTGAAACTAGTAGATATTTTTTAGTTCTGAGCAGTATATTGAGAAAAATAATGAACATAAGTTATAAATTCTTCCCTTTAAGTTCTTATTCATAATTTGTAGGGTATAATTTTTCAGCTATTTTCATATGTCATCTTAAAACTGGACATGTGAGGGCAAATTTCTATTGTTTTTCATCAGCTCCTAAAGGAAAATAACTCTTCTTTATTCATAATTTAGTGGTTAGTGGTCTGTTTGATTATTTTAAAAGTGGACAGCAGGCTATAATCTTTTAAATTTTGGTGGTTGAACAACAGTTTTGCTGTATTTGGATCAAGAATTTTACTTTTAAATTGGCTTCACGGTTTTACTGTACACGCACAACCTCCAATATGCAAAAATGTGTGTGTTTTAAATGATAAAACTGGAATAAAATGCTGGATATTTGCCTTCCTCTCCCATAATGCACCTCTTTTACTAACTGGGCTCACAGTGAGCGCTACACGCTGGATGGATGTTTCAGCAGGTGAGCTCCTCCGTCTCACCTGTAGATGAGCCTCCTCCTGACGCTGCGTTTGAAGAAGCCGCTGCAGCCGTTGCAGGCGTAGATGCCGTAGTGTTTCCCGCTGCTCGTGTCTCCGCACACTTTGCACACCAGAGCTGGACTCAGAGCTTTCCCCGGAGCCGGACTCTTGGCTGCGAGTCAAACACAGTGACAACAGAGGGCCGGGTCGGTTAGTTATTGTTTGGCTGCATGTGCCTGCCATCTGCAGCGGCGGCTCGGCCTGCTCGGAGCTCCACGCTCGCACAAAGGCGCACGAGTCAACGCTGCAACAGACGTGTAGGCCTGAAAAACTCATTCAGTGGATGATTATGGAATTTGAACAAAAAGAAAATAGCTGGAGGCAGATTAACGGCTAAAATAAACATCACAGGGGTGCTGAAATTCATCCAAATAAACCCATTAATTATAAATATACTCAATCAGCATTGCTTAAAGTTACACATGAATATTATTTTGACCTTTTTCTGCTTCAATCGAGTCAGTTTGTGTTTAAAAATTGCAGCTGGGGAGCTCGAAGCTATTGTTTCTTTGCATATTCATGATCTTTCCATTGAGCAGATGAGTTTTGAGGTTAATAAAGCCCCAAATGTACACCTCCATGCTTCTTTTTTTTATTGTAAGGCCAAGTTCTAGTCTTTTCCTCTTCAGTATCTGCATTTAAAAGGTGTATTTGTGCACAAGAACTGCAGCTGGGGAGCTTAAAGCTATTGTTTCTTTGCATATCTGTGATCTTCATACCTCAACAGATGAGTTTTGAGTTAGATAAAGCCTCAAACATAAAGCTCCATGTCATTTTTCTTTATTGTAAGGCCAAGCTGTTGCTCGTCTCACCTCCTCTGCTGTCATCAGTCCCTCCGCTGCCAGACGATTCGCTGGGTGAAGAAGACGGCATCATGGGGATCTTCGACAGGTGATCCTCCATCATTTTTTAAAAAAGCCTCCTTGAGCGATTCACGAACGCAGAAAAGAAAGTTTGTCGTAAAGTATTTGTCCTCTTTTTAAGCCACAGAGTCCAGAATCGACACAAAAAGTGTTGTTATTGTGTTTGTCGTGGGGCCTCCGGTGGTCCCCCCTCCTGGACAGATGGCAGGTCTCACTGGGCTGGAGCCTGGGCTGTGGGGATGCAGATGGGCTGAGGTCCTGCCATGAGCTCCGAGCTGACACTTGTTGCACGTCGACAGGTCGTTTGGTGTCGTCCTCCCTTCGCGTCCGTCACTGTCTGTGGGTCCTCCTGGGCAGCAGGTCCTCAAAAGGGAGGCCTGGGGGGTGGAGGGGGAGGATTAGCCCCAAGCGCTGTGTAAGCAGCACGCTTATTTGTCATCCTCTTAATCTTTACTGTTCATCTACTGGATCAATCAGTCACATTGCCAGAACATTGGTCAGATCTTCACTAAGTCTGCAAAAAAGCACAAACGAACGAGGGAGGAAAAGAGCGGCTCCTGGAGCTCCTCAAACTCTTGTAACTTTAGACCCGTCCGGCTCCTCCACATCAGTCAACGCTCCTCTTCAGTATCTGCATTTAAAGGGACGATTACATGAGGCGCACATTATTATATTTACCAGCCTCTTCAATTTGTATTTCCCCTCCTTTTTTTTTTTTTTAACCTCTAGATTCCAGCTCCATTTCTCCCTGCTGTATATTTGATCTGTGTGATTGCCTCCCATTCATAAGGACTCCCAGTGTTTGCTGAGGAGCTGCCTATTAACTCCCATTTCCCTCTTCTTTTTTTTGACAAACTGGAGATCATCCACTTCCCCCCCGGCCGCCAGGAGGAAGAAAAGAAAAAGGTCACAGAGGGAATAATAGAGTTTTGAATGACTGATGTTTTGGGGCGGCACTAATTTAGCTCATTCATGAGGGTCGGCCATTTATTATTGAGAGGCTGGAATTATCGTACATGTGGCATTTACACAGGCAGACGGGAAGAAGCAGGACTACGGAGAAGAAAACTCAGGGAGAAGATATGAAACATGAAGATACTGACTTGTTGTTTACGAAAATTACGAAAATAAAAATACTTTTTTTTTGGAAGCACAGGTTTAAAAATCAAACAGGAAATCAGTCATAGATGATTTTTGGTAAAGATAAAATGTTGTAAAGTCAAATTATAAAATTCAAAGTTGGAGTCAAACAACATTTCTGCCTTTAATAACATCATTATCGTCTATTGGTCGAACCTTTGTGCAGTTTTCTGCTCGTTTTCACGATTTGCTTCTCGACACAGTCGACCGGTTCGAGTGAAAGATCTGAAAAGGAGGCGAGCTGCCGTGTTTCTGACATCTGTGCACTGAATGACATCTGCACTGACTTGTTGTTGTTTGTTCTGTTCAATAACTGGAATAATAAGTGAGCTCAGAGTGAACATATGAACACTTTAAAGCTGCGTTAATTGTTTTGTTTTTATGCCACTCTGGAGCAGCAGAACAGGCAGAAAACAGCTGACATGTTATCATCCTGCATTTGCACAGTAACATCTGTTTGGTCTAATATTCACTTTCATTTTACATCTGATCTCTTTAATTGCAAAATGTTTCACCAGCAGTACGTTGCATTTGTCAGCCTGTTGATGCTTTGCTTTTTTTTAGAGCCTGTTTGGCAACAGCAGATGCCTTCTGCAATCTGAAAAACCTAAAAGAAAAGAAAAAAAAAAGTTAAAACAGACTAATAGACAACATTGAAGCGTATCTGTAGAGCTGATGATTATTGAGCCGGTTCATGGTCACCAGTAGGGAGACAGAGATCATGTTTTTGCTTTTGTTTCTGGGAATTTAACAACAAGGTTTCATTGTTCACTTACACTAAATTAAAGCAGTTGCATAAACTACAACCTTAAATGAATGCAAAAATGACAATAAAGTACAATATTTTTAAGTTTTACAGACTTCTCTTGTCAATCAGCCAAGTTTTTGAGTTGGAAAATTTGAGGTCATGTCGTCAGTATTTCTGACACTTCCAAAACATTTACATATTAGCACCATAACTTCAACATAAAAGCATTTAGCAAGAACATTCAGCCATTAGAGGGCAACACTGACATTTATTTAGAACCAATTGATGGTTCTAAATCCAGTAGTCTCTCTCTTTTAGCTCCAGATTTGGTCTCCACCAACTACAATTTTTTGCAAAGCATTATGAGCACAATATTGACACCATATCGCCTTTCAATTGAAAATAATACTCATTAGCAAGAACATCCAACTGTTAGAGAGCAACCAGACATTCATTTGGATCCATCTGATGAATGTATATTAAAATTTGTTCTTTTTTAACTATTTTGTCTTAACTAACGGCTATTTTCTCACGACAGTTATGATCACAACATTAGCATATCCTCAATTATTATTTTAATATAAAACTTTTTAGCAAGAAGCTCCAGCTGTTAGAGAGCAACACTGACATCACTGGCATCACTGACCTGATGCCTCTAAGTCCAATATTCACTTTCTTTTGACTCCAGCTTTGGTCTCAACCATCTACTATTTATTTATTTTACTTAAACACACAACACTGACATACCAACGCCTTTAAATTCAACATAAAACCTATTAGTGAGTGCATCCAGCTGTTAGCAAGCAACATTAACATTAATTTGTAAGAATGTAAATCTTCATTCACTGTCTTTTAGCTCCATTTTTGGTCTCAACCAACTACTGAGGAAAATATCTGTCATTTTAGCTGCTAAATGCTTCACTGTGTGGATCAGCTAGTCTCTAAGTGCATCCATTAGCTGTTTGATGTGGAGTAGGTGGATTGTCAGAGCTTTTTTTTTCTGAAAAAGTGCCATGAGAGTGTTGTCTTATTTGTTGTTATTAAAACATTACTAATCACTGCAGCTACTATTTAATTGTACAATCTGTAAAATATGTGAACATCTGCCCTCCATACTCTGTCTGGCTGTTCGTTAAACTCCAAGTAGAAAATTTGCTTAGAGAGCAAAATTAACGTCGATGTCAGCGTGTTTCAGCAGCACAACAACAAGGCCTGAGCATAATTGGAAAAACAAAGTGGAAAGCAGTTAAGTAGATTAGAGTTTGACCACATTTTGTCTGCCTGGGCACCGGCCTCAGCCACCAGAAGACTGGTGGAGGGGGGCCACACAATTAGCTCAAAAGATTAAAAGAGCAGCGAAGACACACTTCTTGTGGGCATCTTTAGCCATATGGTGGCTACTCTCTTCATCCTTGGCCAACACACTGTTGACCTTTGTAAGATTTACCAGGTAATTAGTCCTCTGAGGTCAGCGATCTGCAGGATTTCTGCGTGGGTTCACCCAATTACACACTGATCACTGATGTGGATTCTGACTCATTTATGTGTCCGTCTACCTGCTTTTTGGCAAATTATTTGTGCCTTGGACAGCTAAGATATGGGGGAAAATGCTCTTACACGAGCCAGAAGTGGAGCTTTTTGGTTTTTCTTTAGTCTTCCTTGATCTTTCTTGGTATTGGGTGGTGGGGGTTGCGTCAGGATGCTTTGATATCGGCTTCACGATGAGGACAGGTTTGTCAAAAATATTCGTATAAAATCTTTATCAGCACACAAGGTGTTTCCTTTGCTGTCCTAAATGATGCCTTTTTCTAAACTCTTTGTTTGAAAATGCCATAATATACCAGAATGGTGCGTCCTCTTGAATGTATTCACATAAAAGCAGTTGACGGAAACACTCACTGATTCCCATTTATTTAGCAGAAATTGACTTAAAACTTGTACAACACGAACAGTAATGCTTAAAAAGTTGTGAACCCTTTAAAATTGTCAGTATTTCTGCATAAATATGACCTCAAACATCATTATAATGTCAGTCAAGCCCTAAAAGTAGATAAAGAGAACCAAAATATTACACTTGGACTCTTTTTCAGCCGATTCTTCTTCAATAGAAAAGCTTTAGCTCTGGGACGTTGGTGCGTTTCCTCACTTGAACTCCTTCCTTTACGTCCCTCTTCAACAGTTCTGTTGGATTAGGGTCATAACTTTGCCTGGACTATTCTTCTATGCTCGCTCTTCGTAGCGCCCTCTCATGAGATTCAGTTCACAGACAGATTCATATAAGACGGTATCATTCAGAATTTATCGTTCCTTTATTGATGAGGAGCTGTTCTGGCCTAAATGTAGCAAGACAGGCTCAAACCATGATGCTGCCACCACCGTGCTTTCATCAGTCCACCAAGCATCCTTCACAGCAGCCTTCAGTCTTGCGAATGTGACCTTTGCTTGTTAAATAAAGATCTCATCAACAAGCTATTAGCCAATGTCACCCACGGTTTCTTTGTGAACTCACAGACTATCACACATCTTAGAATGATCCTAGCTGGTCGAGTACTAATGTAAACGGTAACAATGGCCTCCAATTAGCTGTCTGAATATAGAAAAGTAAAGTCCAAACTCTTCAGAGGAGTTTTTTTTAAAAATTTTATTCAGCCTGATGAGCATCAACAGCAACCTGTTTGGTTCATGGCATGGCATGCTTCTTCAAACATGTTTTTAAAATGATCGAAATGGGATCATATTCCTGAAAAACATAAATGACTAAGTATAATATTTCAGTCTAATTAGTTTAACTGGGTTTTTAATTTCAGGGCTTCTGTAAAAATCTGAGGATGTTTTGGATCATATTCATGTTGAAATTTAGAAAATTCACAAACTGAATGTGCACATACATGAAGGTGTACTAGGATTTTATTTTATTTTTTTACACTATTGTGGAATCAGTTTTCATACCTGCGTCCTGGTGAAATAGTATTTAAATTATTTGTAATATGAAATCCACATTTTTTTATTTTGATTTTGATTTTTTTTTTACACATTTTGATCATTTATTTAACTTTTATGTGAGATAAAAATGCCCCCAGTATAGTATTCAGCATAATAAACATATAACAGCGACAGCAGATCCATCAGACCGTCTGTAACTGAAACCTCGT